CTCGTCAGGAAAAATTTTTCTCAGTTGGTACAGGTACAATAGGATTTTCTTGTGTGGGAATTGACCTTGTTCTACGTATTCGTAGTTAGTTTCAGCATAGGCGATATTATCGGTGTTGTGTGATTGATCTTGATCATTATCGCGGCTAGCTGCGTTCGTGTTGTATAACTCTTCAACTACGAAGGTTTTTGGTTGATTATTTTGTGGCTGAATGCTGAAAAGTGATTCCGGGTGCAAAATTTTGGAAATTGTTATTTGTTGGTCTGAACGTATTATGCGAGGTTATTGACATTGCTGTAGGTCTTGATAGTTGTCGATTTGGGTTCGGTTTGAAGACGTTAGTGGTAGGTTTATATTTGGAACTGAAAACTTGAGAGTTTGTGGGAAATCTTTGAGGTGGGTGTCTCATTATAATCTACATAGAATTGGTTTGATGAAAATTGCGTATTCATTGGGTTATAAGAATTAAATGTATTTGCGTATTTGGGTTAAGTAAAAGATTTTGGTTTGGATTTAGTGAACTGTTTTGGAAATATTCCGTATTGTATTCAGAAGTAACTAGCTGTAAGGCTTCAGGAAGATCTTTTGGACGCATACAACGTATGGTAGTTCCCAAAGGTTCTTTTAGACCTGATAAAAATGTTTTGAGTGATAATCGATGATAAAGATTACTACTCAATGCTTTTGCGGCATCGTTATTTTCATGAATACCTATATATATATATGAACATAAAATTTAATATTTCAATATTTGCATGATTCTATTATAAAACTCACTAGGTTTTTCGTTACTCTTGAGCATCACTAGATCTCTGTTCAGACAGGCTTCATCGCGTTGATCAGCGAAATGTCTACTCAGTATAATTTTCAATTCTTCCCACGTTTGAACATGAGTAGTGCCTAGTACTAATTTAGCGTTGCCCGATAATTTTCCAATAATAGAATTTAATAGGTATATAAATATTCTGAAAATCGTTTGGTTCATTTGGTTTGTAGAAAGCATCGATAATGCTTTGGCAAACTGCTGAGTACCTATTTAAATCATTGGGATTGCCGTCAAATTGCGGCATGCAATTTAAATAGTCTGCTTTAAAATTGGCCATTGTACAAAGATTACTTTCAGGTAAATTAAAATTAGGTGCAGAAATAGACTAGTTTATTGATCTAATTACTTCTTCGCTAGTAGCAGGGTCAGTTGAAGGAGGTAAATGAAGTTGACTTAACCTTTCGATTATATCGTCAATAATATTATCATCGGCCATTAGATTTGCACTTTACTTACATGAAAATGATTGTACGTGCATCTCTTCAAGCGTGTCAAAGTCACGAATTTTGCTCATATTGAAAAACCATACAAATTCAAATAGGTATAGCGCCTCCATTGCAAGGAACACCAGCGCCCTCGGTATGGAACCGAGGTCGACAAAAAAGGTACGAAAAAACACTAGATTCGTACAGCCAAGTGACTGCGAAACACTCTCTCTCTTTTCGCCAAACACGAACACACATTTTTTAGTCCGTTTTCGCGCACAAGAAAGTCGATGAATATCGCGAGCTCGCCGGTTACCGGTTTCGAAATAAAAGCCGGTAGTGTAGTACAACCGAAACAAAACCCGGGATCCCGGTATTAAAAATTAACTTAGAACTAGAAGAACCCCAGAACCACAGGTAAGGCGCCTTTTATCATATTGTCTTTTGTATGGTTATTTTTTTGCTACATATTCATTAGTTGCGCTTACAGTCCACGTAACTCCGGAGGTGATTCTGAAATATCAACCATTACGCCAACATTTTCTGGTCCTTCGAGCCGGATTTGAACCTTTTTAGAATCAAGAATCATAATTAATATGATTATTAGCAAAAATCGCCATATAAAGCAAGTTTTTTATGTGCAGGTTTGTGCGCCTAAACTGTCGCTATCCATTATTCTCTATTTTTGAGGAATTTCAAGGCCACTGAAACCGGCTGTAAAACTTATCGCTGAGGCACCTACCTTATTAAAAATACATTTATTTAAATTTCGCAAATAAACGAAAAAAGAAATAGTTGTTTACTAAATAAAAAACCCAATTATTTCCGATAAGTTTAAGCATTGCAGTGCACAGATAGATACATTGGTGCTAATAATGAGATTGTAATGATTGTATTACTTAATTTCAAAATAATAATAATTTTATAATTTTCGCCTTTCGACGATTTACAGGTTTTACATTACAGCCTGCAAATCCAGGTATATACCTTATTCTTAGGTATATACCCTATTTCATAGATTCTTTGCTTTGAAAAAGACTTTCTTAATTTTTTCAATTATTTTCTTGGCATTTCGATCAACATGCCGGAAACTGAGACGGCAAACGTTGCGCTCATCAAAAAATTAACTAAAAAACGTTACGTCTGTGCTAGCCGAATCACAGAAACGTACACGGTTGCACAAAAAGCCAAAACTAGTGACTCTCAAAAAGCACTGCTTAAAGTAAGGTTTGAGAATTTGGAAGAATCTTATTCTGATTTTCAAAAATATCATAATGAAATCATTGGTATAATTGATGATAAGGAATATGACCAGCAGGATGCTGTCAGAAAAGACGCAGATAGTTATTATTTTGGGTCAAAACAGGTTTACTTTGAATTATTTCCACCTAGTAGCACACCAGGTTATGTTTTAGCGCCAAATGAATCAAACCAGGCAAGCTACACCGCGAAGTTACCAAAATTAACTATTCCGAATTTTGATGGCAATTTACAAAATTGGACAACATTTTATGACATGTATAGATCCATGGTACATGATTCTACATTGCCCAACATTTCCAAATTTCAATATCTAATTTCATTATTAATTAAATTAATTAAAATATCAACCATTACGCCAACAATGATGATCAGCATAATATAAGGGTAAAAGGCCTGGTCGGCGATTTTGTCTTCCCAAAAACTTAATCCTTGCGAGAGTTGGCAATTTTTGTCCAACCTTTGATCGCTTTGTTGGTCAGGCTCCCAACGAACTGGGGTTTTCGGAAGTCCACACACACACACAGCAAAGCGACCACGCGTAGATATACACACAAGTTTTTGGTTAGTCCGATTTATCGGCGATTAGATATCAGTTCCAAAAATTATCCGCACGACTGCGCCAGTTAACACGTCGTAGACCGGGTTAACGTTTTAAAAAAATTATTTCCGACTTAAAAATTACAAATTCAAGACTTAACTATAAAAATTTAATCGTTACACTAAAATTCAACTGACTAATGTAACATTGTCGAGAAATTACTTATATAAAGGTGAAAAGCACAGTAACTAGTAAGCAAGTTTATTGTTTAGTCATCGCCCATTACTGACATAACTCCTACATGTTTCGAAGCTATATAGAGGTACTACCCGTTGAAATTAAATGTCCTTTGTCTAGATGTAAATGTTTTTTTCTCATACATTGTCTAAATGTTTCATTTTTGTTTTTCCTCTACTAAATGCTCAGTTCAGCGGCTTCAAATTAATAATATAAAACTGTATAAATAATATTGAGCTAACTTGCCTCTGATGATGAAGCTCTATAGCTTCGGAACATGTAGGGCTGTTTAATTTTCAATTAAAATATTTGTGTGGAGGAAGACTTTGTGTTTCTTTTGATTTCAAATTTCAACACCACTTTGAGTCATGGACTACTTTTTCAATTTAAACATCTTTGTTTCTGGGAAAATCGCTAGGGACAACGCAAAGGAAGACAATATTGAGCCTAAGGAATACAACCTAAATCTCTAGAACAACAAAGCGTAAAGGGGTTATACTTACATGAAATTTTTAAAGCAAGTATAATATTTTTCTGGGAAATTAACAAAAATTATTGCTAATAATTATTAATTTCTACCAATAATTTATCAATTACCTAGGTGAAATGAGGGATAATTTATACTTAACTGACCTTGCACAAATAAATTTGTTTGTGTATCAATAATGTTAGGTACACATCGATGCGTTTAATCATATACCTTTTAAATTGATTAGTTTGAATAACAACAAAAAAAAATATGAATTTAAACAAATGGCAGGTCGTTCAAAAACTTCTAGAGCAAAATTGACAAAAAGTTAGCAAATATTAAAAGAAACGTCTTCGGATTCGTAGACAAGTGAGACGTACCCGTGCGCGCTTAATTAAACTTTATCTTAAACAATATGACCCAAAAATCACAATAAAACTAGAATTATAGTATTTCAAATTTTCAGAATCGCAAAATGACACTTTCTGCTGCCTCTCATTCCGTTGTTGATTTTATATCATTTTTTTTTATTCCTTTCTATATTTTCTTATATTCTTCTCTGTTACAGTTTCCATGTCTTGTCGAATATTTTGGAACAATATGGCAATCCTATCAATAAGTTTTATCTTTCTTATTTTCCTCTTGTTCTTTTTGTTGTCTGTCTTTTTGACGAAGCAAGCATCTGGTTTATTTGATCTTCCATTTTAGGGGTCCCTCTTCTAACACTCATTTATTGTCACGTATGCGGGTTTCCAGATAAGTGAAACTACTATTCTGTACCTACTCAAATAGCTGAATGGCCGACTCTTTCTTATCCTTTCTGTGAGATTTATAGAAAATTTCTTTCTAAGAATTTGCGATGAACATCAACCTCTAAGGACCTCCTAGAAGGTGATACTTATCAGATTATGCAAATCCCCAGTTCATTGAGAACCTAAATTTGGCAATGTCGCGTCTTGTATGCATTATAATGTAATTATGCTAAAAATATTATTATTATATTCTAAATAGAAATCATTTTTTATCTTCTTTCAAAGTTCAAACTCATTTTCTGTATTTTATATCCAATTTTCTCCTATTACAGAATAAATAATTTATTTATCCCCAATCGAGCAATTACCTATCGCTTGCTATTTTAGTGGAGATTTTCCCGTTTTTCCAGTCAATTTAAAACAAATTTTCACATTAACACCATGATCGCTAAAGCGTTTTGCGCTGCTTTATGTGTTGCAATATTTGCAGAGGCTCAACATGCGAACAATGTTTGCTCCTCTCTAGAAGCTTATTTCAAAAATATGTCTTCAAATTCGAAGTGTTGGTACGATCCTGACCTCGGAGGAACACCCGTAAGTACCTAACGGAATAATTATTTTCAAAATAAGAAATTTTTGTGTTATAACCACAAAATTTAAGTTTTTCAGTTGAAACCAAGGCATTAAAATTTATTATGGATTATGGTCAAGGACGGTTTTGATAACAAAATGCGGATAATTTAAACAAATTATACATTTTATTGAAAATTCATCATCATCATGGGCGATCACCCGATACCGAGTATGATTATCTTCTGTTTTATTCCTATTGTCGTCAATTGTGGGTTTTCTGATGGCTATATAAACCAATTCTGGAGCCGCACACTCTTCCACAGTCTTTTTTTTTTAAGGACCCTGCCCAAAGTATACGAAAAATGTGTTAATGTCAGAACTGGGCGAACTGGCTGAATTTTGTATACAGGGTGTCCCCGTTCAACTGGTCAAAAATGTTAGGGTATAAAGAGGAACCATAGAGAAGTAGTTTGAGATAGGACACCGATGGTCGGAAGTGCGTCGTTTCCAAAATACAAGGTGATAAAATTTAAAAAACCCCCTTTCTTATCATATGAAGGGCTAATGCTAGGCTGTTCAAATTTTCAGGGATTATTGATATATCCATGGTTGGAAAAAGCAATAAAAAGTTTTTATACTTAATTTTCACTAATTTATTTACAGTAACATGTTTCGCTACACTGTAGCTTCATCAGACTACTTAAAACTATATGGTGGGTCACTATTTATATGTTATCTTAACTGACAGGTACACAATTTTACAAACATACTTAGAAATTATTAATTTACAAATTACAATGGTCTAATTGTTGAAGGGTACAGGGGTAATAAAATGTCCGTGAATATTTAATAGTTGAAAATATTAAGTAAAGGAGAATTATTTAAATCTAGTTGATCGTTGAGTAGAAAATTTGAGTTTTTAAGTTTATTAATTTCCAATGATTCCAGGTAGTTGAGTTTGAAGCCTTTATTTTCTGTATGCAAAATTTTTATGTTATCATTAAATGTATGGTTGGTTTCAATAAGATGATTGGAATAATTAGAATCAGTTTTGCGTTTTATGTAAGAATTATGATGTTCTCTAGTCTGATGAAGCTACAGTGGAGCGAAACATGTTACTGTAAATAAATTAGTGAAAATTAAGTATACTTAAAAACTTTTTATTGCTTATTCCAACCATGGATAAATTCAATTTTCACCAAGTATCGGCTCAATCAATTCAATTATTGATTTAGGAATGATCTTTAAGAATTCGTATAATACACCCCACCCTCATTTTCTACCTGGAACCACCCCAAAAAATAAAATAAAATTTGAAACAAATTGCTTTTTTTTTTCAAATTTTATTTTTCATATATTTTTTTGGGGTGGTTCCTCTATATACCCTAGCATTGTTGAACGGACTGTATAATGTAGATCACGCCTTCCTGACTAAAAGTTATCATTGCACCAATCGTGAAAAATGACTCCTTTTTTGAGAAAATTAATTTCATAGGTAGCAAGTAAGACGCTTGGTTCAATGTAGCACAAATAGGTGAGCTTGTGGCGCAGTGGGTGTGCTACGTGGAGTAATTTTTCAGGATTGGTGTAATGGTTACTTTTAATCAGAAAGACGTGATCTACATTAGATACAAAATTTAGCCAAATTCTGACATAAACATAATTTCCGTATACTTTGGGCAGGATCCTTTGTTTGAAATAGAATTATATTGTGGCCAACCTATCTCTATTGGGTTTTGGGAAGGAAAATCCATAATTGATTTGAATTCAATTTGGAAGCAAATATAAAATGGCCATTCAAAAAAAAAAAGTTTTTCATTCTGTCTCTTTCTGTATTAATCCATGGCCGAGTTCAATAGTATACTAAATATAAAGAATGTACTTTGAAATTTAACAATTTACTGAACTATTTTTCAGCAAGAACTAGCTCAAAATAACGGATTCCTCCTAGAAGAACACCAAGTCACAACCGAAGATGAATATATTCTGCCGTTATACCGTTTGAAAAATTTGGATGGTTCCTATGGATCACAGCCGATATTTCTGCAACATGGGATGTCAGCGGATGCATATTGCATGATGGTAAATAAGGAGGATTCTATACGTAAGCAGACATCTGATGCCCTTAATTTACTGCCGATAATACTTAAATGATTTTTTCTATAATAGCTTATTATCTTGCCAGAAAGGGATATGATATTTGGATTGGTAACTACAGAAATTGCGAATATTGTAGACATGCAACTCTTACTACTAGTGATCCAAAGTATTGGGAGTTTAGGTAAAATAAAACAATATAACGGGCATTAGGTTTGTTCAATAGAAACACTTTTTTCTCCAAACGTCAAAAAAACGTCACTTTGTCAGCACCTGTCAAGATGTTAGAAATGTAATTTCTATGCTGGTAGGCAAAGCCAACGGGTTAACACCTGTCGAGGTGGTAGAAATTTAATTTCCATGCTGCTAGGCAACCGCAGCGGCAGCAAAAGTACTTTTAGTGCCGCTCGTACTTTTACTGCCGCTTAACCATTCATCTAGCCCCGAGCTTACCCCATTCGTTTGGAGAAAAAATAGCGTGTTGTATTAGGAGTAGAAGCTTTAATATATATATATATATATATATATATATTGTATTAAAAATTTATAGAAATTAAAATTCAATTTAAATACTATGTAAATTACATAAAATTTAAAAATTTAAAATTTATTATGTGATTTTAAGCGGCTCACTACGTTCGGCTCGCAAACCTACTGCTTCAGCACAAAAAAGTAAAGCTTCTACTCCTAATACAACAATATACTATTATTTATGTATACTCATACGCCAGCAGGCAAGTTATAAATAAAGGGATTAGCTGGAAAGTATTCCGAAGTTAATGATATTTTGGCATGTCGTTTGTGGATAGTCTGTGGAGTAGAAAGTTTTCGACCTCGATGGCCCTGTGCTAACTTGGGGGGAAGTCGAAAGACCTAGAAATTTTCAAACTTTTTCAGTTTTTTGCTTATAACGTCTAAACCATGCGTTTTTAGCGGAATACACCTATTTATAAAGTTGAAGAAAACATAATTTCCTTCAAATTATTATTTAACGCAATAATAACCAAGACTTGTCAAAAATTTCTTCCCGTCCGAACATAATATAAACCAAGCATGGGATAAACCTCTTTCATCCTCGTCTCTTTCGGGCTCGTGCACTCCCAGTATACTGTACCCTTGAGCTATATGTCTATTGCATCCTATTTTCATAATTATTTTTGGAAGATCAACCTTTTTTGATTTTGATTTCGACATCATCTGTGCTGAACTCGCCTATCTATCTGACAAGTCGACATAATTTTGGGATCTGTGTGTACATTAAAAATGACCTTTCATGTCATCGAGAGGAGACGCTAGAACCAGCGAACCTTGATATCATATGGCTAAAATTCACCTCAAAGTCATCGACCAAGTTTATCTGCTGCCTCTACCGACCGCGAAGTAACACCGATTACCAAAACTTTTTCGCGACATTATCCGAAAGCTGTGATAGTATACAGTCAAACTATCCACAGGCGGAAATTGTCTTTTTAGGCGATTTCAACGTCCACAATATACCCTGGCTGAAACACCACAACAAAACAGATAACGAAGGCAGAGAAGCAGAAGCTTTTGCCATAAGTTGTGGTCTAACGCAGCTTGTCGATGAACCTACCCGTATCTCAGAAAGGGGCGAATTTGCAGCGCTTTTAGACTTGTTCCTAACCACCAATCCTGACTCGTACACAATTCAAGTAGATGCTCCACTTGGTTCGTCCGATCATAAACTTATAATAACAAAGTGCGAAATGCTCATCCCACCAAGCCTACAACCACTTCCTCGTAAAATGTGGCACTATAAATCGGCAAAATGGAATGACCTAAAACAGTATTACCTGGATTTTCCATGGCAAGAGGTTTGCTTTAAAACAGCTGATCCCACTATTTGCTGTAATGAAATAACACAAGTAATCTTATCTGGAATGGACGCATATATCCCACATACAACTAAACGTAGAGCTAATGCAAAACCTTGGTTCAACAGCCAGTGTCAAACGGCTGTACAGAAAAAACACAGCGCATATAACCTTTGTAAACGACAACAAACCGCTCAAAACCACACAGAATTTATAGAAGCCAGAAATAGTTGCAAAATTACTATTGACTCCGCTAAAGAAACATACAATCAAAGAATAAAAAACAGGTTGCTGAATTGTCCAAGTAGTTCTAGGTCCTTTTGGTCTCTTGCAAAAGCTGTTGGATCTAACTTCACCAAGTCATCCATACCACCACTTACAGATGAAAATAATCACTTAGCCACAACATCAGAGGAAAAAGCCAATATGCTTGCCCAAATGTTTTCCTCCAACTCCAACCTAACAGTGCCAAACGGAAAAACTCCACCGTTCATTGAAAGGGTTTCCCATAGTATGCCAGAGGTACCCTTTTGTCACAGAGAAATACGAAAATCCCTAAAAAAGCTGGATACAAACAAAGCAATGGGTCCGGATGGCATTCCCGCAATAGTACTCAAAAATTGCGCCAACGAACTCACCCCAACTTTCGCAAAATTATTCAATTTGTCTTACAGGCAAGGAGTATATCCATCATCATGGAAGTCTGCCGCAGTACAACCCATTCCAAAGAAAGGAAAAAAGACAGATCCGTTAAACTATAGACCAATTGCTCTACTTCCGGTGATATCAAAAGTAATGGAAAGAGTTGTGAACAATCACCTAACCAAGTACTTGGAAAAGTACAAAATTATCAACGATAAGCAATACGGATTTCGAAAATATAGGTCAACTGGCGATTTACTTACATACGTCACTCACTTATGGCAAAAAGCGATTGAGTTGCGGGGTGAAACAAGAACAATTGCCTTAGATATATCTAAAGCATTCGACAAAGTTTGGCATGAAAATCTGCTCAACAAGCTCAAAGCAATGGGATTATCGCCGAAACGTTGCACTTGGTTTGAAAGTTACCTAAAGGACAGATCCATTTATGTTGCACTGGATGGCCAGAACTCCAACTCTTACCAAATAAATGCTGGTGTGCCACAGGGAGCAATCCTTTCGCCAACTCTTTTCCTGATTTACATAAATGACCTCATAGATAAAACAGTAAATCCACTTTATTGCTTTGCAGACGATGGCAATGTAGTCTCCTCACTCAATACCACCCATTGGTCTTTCCGCACGTGAATTCCATCATCTTAGACTAACTCAAATATCGCAGATAAATAACGACCTGGAGATAATAGAGGACTGGGGTGACAAAAACCTTGTACAGTTCAACGCGCAGAAAACCCAAGCAGCTCTGTTTTCAAAAAAGACCAGCACCGGTGAGCCAAACATCATGCTATCGGGAAGTGCTGTCACATTACAGACTCAGTTGAACATCTTGGGGGTTACTGCAGAGACCAACATGTCTTGGCACAGTCACGTGGCAGATATTGCTAAAAGGGCCTCCCAAAAGCTGGGGGTGCTATTTCGTACAAGACATCTGTACACACCAAGCCAATTGCTGACACTCTACAAAGCCCAGATTCGACCAACTATGGAGTACTGCTCACATATATGGAGTGCAGCACCCAAACATACCTTAATGCTTTTGAATACCGTGCAAAAACGAGCTATCAAGCTGATCAATGACCCCGCACTTACTCGTAACTTGGATGGTCTCGAACATCGCAGATCTGTGGGCGATTTATCTCTCTTCTACAGGTACTATCACGGAAAATGCTCTGAATAGTTGGCACGTATGATTCCACCGAGAGTAGCACCTACCAGGCGAACCCGTCAAACAGACGGTAACCATGAATTTACTGTCAAACTAGAGGCACCAAGAACCTCATTATATCAGAATTCATATCTCTGGAGAACAGCATCGCTGTGGAATAAACTCCCTGCGACGGTTTTCCCTGCAGGTTACAACCAAAAAAAAAAGTATCGATAACTCAACGGGCTGGGCTCAGTAGTACACGTCAAACTCCTACTTACTGTTTGTGTTTAGTTCCATCGAGTATTGTTTCCGTGGTACTGCTGAGTTAATATGGCAATTTGGCGGAACGTGAAGCGATTGTGGTTAAAAAAAAAGAATCAATAGGCTTCTTGCTACCAGTTTGAAGCGGAAAAAGTCTGATCATCAACGGTTACTCGAGAGAGTGGAAAAAATTAAAATTCACACATTTTGTCAGAAAAATTACAATAACGATATAGTATAGTATATAGTATAGTAATAAAGGGTATTATAAGGATAATAATGCTTGAGGTCAATAGTGTATAGTGTATATATGGTGACCGAAAGCGTTAATATCCTTAATACCTGTGGTGCCTTCAACGTTTATTGTCCGACTCAATTATTTTTTATATGAAAAGTACTTCTTATGCGATGAAGAGGTTACTGAGGAGTAAAGATAAATAACAAATGAAGTTACCCCAGGAAACACGTAATCCTATGGTCAAAGTGACGATTCCAGAGGTAGCAAGCACGATTCAGTCATACGCAAGGCAGCGAGGTGATGAATGGGGACAAAAAATTGAAGAACGTATAAGCCTCTTGATTAATATGGAAACAGATTTAGTTGCGCTTAACGCGGAATTGCACCAAAAGTGTATTCAAAATTTTTACAAAATACCTACACGTTTCCACGAAAAGCCGGGACGAACTACTCCCAACAGATCAAGCCATGGAAATTATATTCAGTTTTCATCTTATGAAAGACTCAAAGACCACCGCAAATACTTTTGCAAACCAATTTCATTCCGTCTACACCAGAGAAGACCTTACAAACATGCCAACACTGCCAATAGAGACAATGAACAATAATCAACTCACTGTCATTAACATAACAGCAGAAAAAGTCACCACAGCTCTAAGTAACCTTAAAACCTATTCAAGTCCAGGCCCAGAAGGGATACCATCTATATTTCTAAAGAAATGTGCTACGTCTCTAGCAACCCTTATTAGCCCAAATATACCAAGATTCAATAGACAATGGTACTATACCAGAGATCTGGGAAAAAGCTATAGTGATACCAATCTACAAAAGTGGTGACAAAAACGACCCGTCCAATTATACAGTGTCTGACCTGCACACTGTCCAAAGTACTTGTGAAAGAAACAACATCCTTACTCTCAGAAAATTACATCATACCTCCTACTCAGCATGGCTTTATGCCAAGAAGGTCTACTACAACAAATCTTCTCAGCTGCCTAGGATGACTGGTCTATAAACCTAGACGAAGGCAAGCCAATTGA